CTGGGTTCCGCGGCGGACGGGCACCTCGCCCCGGCCGTCCCGATTCCCCGCAGCGTTCGTGCCCTCTGCCAGACCGCCTGTTAGTTACCGCGGGTAGGCGTTGAACTCGCAGCGCGGCCTGCGGGCGGATCGGAGCCCTCCCGTCAGCCTTGCCCGCGCTCCCGGGGGAGCTGCCGGGGAGCTTAATGCCAGTCGTTGCTCAGCACGGCCCGACGCGAGTTGTGTTCTCAGTGGCGCGGAAAGTGTGTGCATCGTCCTTGGGATAGCTTGTGGCCATGGGTTGTGGGTCTCTGAATGTTCCGGAGGAGTTGTCGTTTCGGGACAGAGCTCTGTGGTGAATGTATTGCCGTAATTCTTACGTGCACGACTGATTTAACGCTGCAGGTGCTCTGTGGGAGACCAGGGTGTGCGGAGTAAACTTAGAAACAAAGATCGAAGAGTGTGGCTTTTTCTAATTGTACTTACAAAACCCCGCGTCGTTTACATCTGATAATTAACCACACCACTGCGGTGAAAAGTTGCTGAGGATTAGCTGAAAACTAAACCATGTGTCACAGTTAGGTCTGTTTGATAACAGAATCGCTTTGCGGTGTAAGGAAACAACCTGAAGGGCTTAGGGACAACCTTGAACAGCAAACTGACGCCTGTGATTACTTTTAGTGAGCTAATGCGACCAAGATTGATTGTAGGGAAAAATAGGGAAAAAAAAGGTGTAGTTGTTTGTTGGATTGCTATATTGGAGAATATTAATTTTTGTGGATCAAATCATTCTAGTTATCAGAGTAAGCTGTCACTTCCAAATAAGTAGTGTTCAAGACAGTGGCTTGGCTAGTGGTAGCAATGTGGCAATGAAGCCCAATTAACAAAAGAAATCCTGAGGCAGACAGTGAATGGTATTGTATTTTCATATTTCTGCTAAAATGCAAACAATGTTATAATAATAAGATTCACTTTCCTTTTATGTTAAGAACTAAAATTCCAGTTGAGGAGAAAAGCAGAAGTGAAAAAAAAACAGCTGAAGTGTACTTTGCAGTGTCCGAATGTTGTAGGCAAGCATATTTTTGAAAGGCAATTGCTCCTTGTTGCCAAGGTTTAAGGGTACGCAGAAAATTGACACAGGTGCTTCAGAGAGCATTGCCAAGTTGTCACGGGCATGTAGACTTTTTAAATTGTCACGTTGTAGTCATATTTAAAGTAAATACAATCCCATGTTTTCAACAGGACATTCAATGGAGAGAAGTGAAAAAAAAAATCCTTGATAACTCTGATTTTTTTTGACAGTTGCATTTAAAATAGCCATTTCTATAGTAAAGCAATACAACGTCTTAGATCATAATGATTGTAAGGTAAATATAATTGGATAAATACAGCTCCCTTTTTTTCATTATGACTGGATCTGCACTGATCTATAGGGACAGGAAATGTATCAGTTTCATGAGTCAAAAAATGTAAGCGACTCCTTTTCCCTATATTGTTGCTGTGTGCATATACAGAATTTTTATGTACTGTTGTTGCTTAGCAGCTCAGTCATGTACTCCTAGTAAGTTCCAGTAGGAGCCAAAATCTAGATGTTCCTACCTAACGTGCGGTGTGAAAATCCATAGGTGAGCTGGGAGCATGACTGATGCTCCCCTGTGCAATCAGAGTGCATATATATAAAGCAGTAGTAGCCATTTATATTTGGAAAGCAGTTGGCAGGTGCTGGCCTTCCACCCTTTCTAATTTCAAGATATTCAAGATGAGAAAGGGGATGGTTGGTTTGTTTTACTGCGTGGGTTCAGACTTGTGTCATCTACCTCACATGAAGCTCTCCCAAGTCAGATCATTAGGCTTTCGTGAGGACAGGAGGGACAGAGTTCTTGGCTTCTGAGATCAGACAGTCGGGGTGCGCAGGTAAGAATGGGGGAACTTGGGTTCTGTTCTCTGATCCTGATGCGTGTTGTATCAAATGTTATAATGCAGAAATTCTGCAAGTGAGATTATCGCTCTGAAGGCAGTTGAATTTTTGAGGAAAAAAAAAAAAAAAGTTTAAATCAAAAAAGGCTTTACCATTCCAGCAACAAAACATAGATGAAGCATTTTACAGACCAGCATTTGGGCTCTGAACACCAGTGAGGGATGCAGTTTAAGACACTGCTGTCACCTATATGCATGGCTGAGATATGACCCCGCTTAGTATGCTGGCTTTTGTTAGTAACCTCCAAATGTTACTCACAAATAGCTGTAAATTTAGCTCTGGGAGACAAGACATCTAGAAGCTAGGTGCAGTGACTAAGCTCTTTTAAAAATGTAGTTGGGGGAGGAAGCAGAGGTAGTTATTTACACCCACCTCCTAGACAATAGCATACTTGTTAAGTACGTGTGCGTGTGTATATATATATAGATGCCTGTAAACTTAGTGTATTGGAATCGAATAGGATGTATAATTTATGCCCCTGAAATACATATTTGTGTACAGTTCAAATCACCCTTTACTGGAACTAGATATTGCAGCCATCAGTATCTCTGTGAACTGTGCTGTTCTCATACAGGTGCAAGGACTGAGCAGCAAAATGTAGCTTTTCCATTGATTTCCTTTATAACCTCTCTTGAATTCAAATCTGGAAGACTTCCAACAGCTTAAGTGTACTAGAATTATAGGGTTTTTGTGTTGTTCTCTAGCACTTTCTCACTGTTTCAAAGGGTATAAACAGCCATTTATCTTGGGTCTATCATGATAATAGCTCATTTGGGTGGAAAATGAGAATCAGCTGTCTAAATGTGTCTTTTTGCCCTGTTATTAAAGGGTGAAAGAGTTCTGTATTTCCTGATTTTTTTTTTTTTTTTTTTTAGAGTGGATAAGAAGCATTGGCAGAGCATATTAAAATGTGACAAAAATTGAGGAATATCCAAAGCATTAATTGTGTAGGAAAGAGATCTTTGTGCTTTGACTGCTGCTGTGAAATGCATAGTTGTAGGTAAGAAGCCAGATAGACTTTAAGGCATGACTAGGAATGAAGAACTGAAAGAAAGTAGATTATCGTTGCATACATCTTCAGTGTTGTGTGCCGTTCCAGTAGCCCCATCTCAAAAATAATACAAAACTTAATAAAATCTACAGAGAGGGATAGCAAAGAGGACCGGAGTTATGGGATGCCTTTTATACAAGAAGTGGCCAAGCAGAGTAGGATAAATGTGTAACAGCGCATGAAGTGTACAAAGTCATAAATGGTTTGGAGAATATGTATATGCAATAGTTATGTTATTTCTACGCTGCAATAACGTAAATCAACTGAGAAGGACATCAACAGCCTGAAAAGCCATTGGTGCCGGATAGCTTGGATATAGGCAGCGTCCTTAGATGAGAGGTTGTTGGGAAGGGCTCGCTCTGCGTGGGTTTGTCATACTCAGCTGCTGGCCGGTCCCCGGGGACAGAACGCTGGGTCAGGCTGTGGACCCCAAAGTCAGTCCTTCACTTCTCAAAGTCCTCGTTTCATTATTTTGTCAAGAGATGAAGACAGATACCTCTATCCCTTTAGTTAAGCTATCTGTTGAATGTAACCTGGAAATGTGGATGCAGAAAAAACCCACTTGTGTTGGCAGTTACTGTACAGGAAAGCTCCTGGGTAGCATTGAAGCTGATAGTGGTCAAAAGCACGGTTCTGTTCCAATACACATCAATTTCATGCTCCACAGAATTCAGTCAATTATACTTTTAAAAAAGTGAAGTCTTTAGATCTTTTGCAACCTTAGAGTATTTGAGTTTTGTTCTTGATCTACAACTTCTCCACACATAGAAGAACTAGCCCAGCACATGGAGATTTAAGTTCTTTCTAAAGGAAATGCTTGTTTAAGATTACTTTAGCAGGAAAAAGAAAAAACCCTTGAACAAATGAGCTGCGTTGTTTGTTGAGAGCAGTGGTGGTCTGTCTGTCTGTCTGCTGTAGCTAAACAGAGCTGTTCAGGACAGCCGCAGTAGTGCTGTTTCTAGATCAGCATAAACTCAGTATCTCGTTCAGCAAAGGAAGCAAAGATTATGTGATCCTCCCTCTCTCTGCCAGCTAATAGCTTCTGAAGCTGACTCGTTTCGGCTACGCTCGTTAGGGTGTAAGTCTCATCTGTTAGAAATCTGGCAGCACAGCAGATACCAGTAAAGGTGCTGAAGGAAGGGCTGCAGCTTAATAGATACAGAAGAAATCATAGGAAGGGAGACCTTGAAGAAGATTCAGAGGAAAACAGGCTTCAGTTGTTCCCTGAACCTTGAAACCGCGTGTTTGTTTTAGCTAACCTTAATATAGATAGTAGGACAGATCATAAATCATCCTAATTCTTGATGATGCGTTTCACTACAAGCCTAAGTCAGGGCAAACCATTTGCAGCAGTCTTTCGTAAAAGTATATAGGCATTGTAGTTCAAATGATACTGCTGTTTAGCAGTTTCTTGCCATAACGTGGTATATGTTGCACCAATCCGACTGTAAATTCTAAATAGGAATTTCACAGTAAGCGTAGAAATACATAGTTTATAGGCAGATGGAAGCTTTCTCCTGCTTTTCTCCTTGGAGCTAGCCTGCTGAGGCCAAGCTGGTTATTTCCTGCTATTCACATGCTGGAGCTCTCCAGGAGGGAGGGCTGATGTGGGCAAGCAGCTTCAGTTGGCTTGGGCCGTAGGGTGAGCTCGGGGCTGCTCAGGATATGTTATGCATACTGTTCGGGTAGCCTCGGTGTACAGATTTCAAATACTTTTTTTTTTTTTTTTTTTTGAGCTACGCTATTAAAGACAGATAATACTGTATAAGCCAAACTAACACTGATCATCTTTCTTGTCCATCTACTGGTATTTTCCTGTTCCTGGCAAAACAGTATTAGTGTCTTCATGTTCCCTATTTTAGGAGAGTTCTTGGGCGTTAAGTGATTATTTATTTATTTATTTATTTTAATCTTCTGACTAATTAGATGGCTGAAAATGGGCAGCAAAGCAAGTTTTCTTATGCGAAACTCTTTTATTAAAAATCCAGGTAATCTTTCACAAATTTAATCTCTGGAAAGCATGTAAAAGCTGAGCTCTGCTTGTTATATTGTATATTGTGTGTGTGTGTTTGGAAACATCATGTTGTCTGGAGTATCTGCTGCTTGTGTTTTGGTGTATTCTTCTTTTTTTTTCTTTTTTTATTCCCTCAGCAGTAATGGCCTACCTCAGTGTTAAATTTGTTTGAGGCTGAAATTGAGCATATAGACAGTCACAAAATCATTTATATTGGGAGGGACCTTTTGAGATCACCAAATAGGTCTGAATGGGCTTTTGGAGTTGAGGTATAAGACGACTGCAAAATAAATGCAATGTCAACTTTCTGGCTTATTAATCAATTTTCTTTACTCTCCCATTGTAAATTAATGACTTTTTTTCTGTTATAGATTGACTATACAGGAACAGAGCCTTCTAGTCCCTGCAACAAATGTTTAAATGTGTCCTGGGACAGCACGCCACCTTGTACCTGCACCATCAATTTCACACTGGAACATTCATTTGAGGTATGCTGTCCTGTATACAAAGTGAAATTAGAACAGTTTATATGGCTTATTTCATAATTGATAGGACAGCTGTATCACTCAAGTCTTTTTTTTTTTTTCTTTCTTCTGTTTTAAAGGATTATTTCTAGTTGTCCTATGAACTTGGATCTCATTTTTGTGTATCTTCTCAGTAGCAGGGATGAGATGTTTTTTAATGCCTCTGTTTGTCTGGATATGTATAACATTAAGTGGAATGCTTGTGTTTTACACATTTAGGTTTACCGTATGTGTCATATAGCTGGCAAGTAGATCAGCTATTCCTGTATGATTTAAAAAAAAAAATCAGTTCAACAAGAATTGGAAATACCAGATAAGTGCTTTCTGACAAATTAGAGGCAAATGAGGCTTATGTGCTTAACATCAGACAAAACAGGTGCTGGAATTAGTGCTGGTCAATATCATTCTGATAGTTTATGGCATGTGGATACTGTTTGACTTCAGGATGCCAGCTTATGTTAGGATAGTACTCTGTGTACTCAGTGTGAAGACAGGATTGAGGCTCCTTCTTTATGAATGTTGCTGTAAAGTAAACACAGATTTTAAGAGGTTAAAATTTAAGCTTTATGTCAATTAGTGTGTTCATATGTTTTATTGATCAGTTCTTTGTGTGAATGAAAACCCCTCTGACCGCATCTTGCTTCTTGTAGAGCAATGTATTCATGTATTATGGACTTTCCAACTTCTATCAAAACCATCGTCGTTATGTGAAATCTCGAGATGACAGCCAGCTGAATGGAGATAACAGTTCACTACTTGTAGGTATTCCTGCTTGGATATTAATAACCAACTAACTTCTGACTATTGCATGAATCGTCTCATAGCTGAGTATTTAGTTTAAAAATAATGAGGTACTAGAATTTTTGTATAACAGAAAACAACCATAAGGAATTCATATTTTGTTTACAGAAAATAACTGTGTAAAACACTGTAAAATATCATGCCAGTCATTTCATTAAGTGGACAGCAATGCAGTACTTTGATCACTTCTCAAATTTGAATAGTTTTAAACTGTCTTGTTACCTTCAGTCAGTAGTATCTGTCTGTATCCATTTTGTCTGAAGTTTTCATTTTCAGTATAAAATAATATTCAGTTACCTAGCACTTGGTTTGGATATTTCAGCTAAGTGCACCTGTTTTTGTAGACTCTGGTTCAATGTTGAACATCAGCAATATTGGAAAATATCAGTACTGTGTATTCTGTTCAAGCCACTCTGTAATTTTTAGGGCCAGACCTCTCTTTTCCCTAATTTTTACGAGGAGTGGAAATACAATTGGGTTCTTGCTCCAGCATTATTCTCTCTTTTTACCCCTAAGCTTTAAAAAAGGGGAGAGTTTCAGGAGGGTACATCTGATGACTGACAGAGGGTTTTGGGGGGGGCTTTTTCTGCTTGCATTTTTGGCATGCTGTTGGAGTCTTGCAAACTTTTGCATTTTATGTTATGTTTGGTTTCTTATTATAGTCTTATATTCTATAACACTGATGCATACTTAAAAAAAAAAAACTTTAGTAAAAGAATGCTTGAGTACTTCATGTTGGAAAACTGTTTCTATTAAAAGATAAAAGAAAAAAAGTTCTAATAGCTTCCAAGAAAAGCCTTATTTTTAGTATATGACCATGATGAGATTCTGACTTTATTCATGTTTTATTTAGGTTTTATTCCTGCTTGTGAAAGAAAAATCAATCATGCCAGCTAGCATTGAATGCTGAAGTATTTGTAAATAACCTGATTTGTGAAAAGATTATTTTGTGCTACATTTAAGATGTGCACATTATTGAGGTACCGTAGCAAAAAACGGGTTAGTTGGATAAACTAGCACAGACTCATCTGCCTTTTTTTCTTTCTAACCATCAGAATCCAAGTAAGGAATGTGAGCCTTACCGCACAAATGAGGACAAACCCATTGCTCCTTGTGGAGCTATTGCCAACAGTATGTTTAATGGTATGGTAACACAACTTTAAGTTATCACTTAGATGTTTTTGTGATCCAGTGTATGTTTTGTATTGTGTTGCAAATTGTTCTGAGTAAAGACATCACAGGCTTTTTTGTTTTAAATTAACATATTTTCATTGTTCAGAATAAAATAAATATCTTGTGTTGGACTGCTGTTGCTTTTTTCAAAATCGCTATCAGAATTAATTTAATCTGATAGCGTACAAAGGATGGAAATACCTGTTGTGAGAAGCCGTTACTGCTGTGGAGTAGACATATAGATATCATATATGGATAATATGCTGCTATCTAACATACACTAATTCTTACAGAACAGCTTGTGATTGTGGCAGGCAGGTAATAAATGCTGTGCCCAGTTTTTTTTGTTTTGTTTCTCCTGGAGGTAATTGTTTCACTGCCTATCAGGATCATCTGTCTAATGAAAGTTTTGTCAGCTGGTTTTCTAATTTGATTTTCTCCTTAGATACATTGGAATTATACCGCATTGATAATGACACAAGGACTCCTATTACTTTGATTAAAAAAGGCATTGCGTGGTGGACAGATAAAAATGTAAAGTTCAGGAATCCTACGGGAGATGGAAATAATTTAACTGCGCTTTTCCAAGGTAAAAAAAATGTGAAATTTTAAGAAGAATAAAACACTTCAAACACATTTTGATTCGAGTGAGTTTTACCTCACTGACATTTTAGTGAACATGCTAATTAAAAATATTGTGGTTTTCTGAAGAAATCCAAGCTAAAGACTACTCTGCTATCTAGAAAGGTTCTCTTTAAATAATGAAAGCTATAAATTTCATGTGAAAGTGTTTGGTTTTTAACTTTACTGTAATCATTAATGCTTTTTTTAATTTCTGATTTTTTTTTTTCACTTTGAATACTGAGAAAAGCCTAATATGTGCACTGCTGTTGTGGCTTAACCCTGGCTGGCAGTTAAGCACCACACAGCTGCTCACTAACACCCTCTCCCCCTCAGTGGGATGGAGGGGAGAGAATCGGAAGGGTAAAAGTGAGAAAACTTGTGGGTTGAGATAAAGATAATTCAGTAATTAAAAAAAAAAACAAAAGGAAAAAAAAAAAAACCAAACACACGAACAAAGAGAGAGGAAAATAAAACCCAGGAAAACCCAAGTAATGCAAAAGAAAACTATTGCTAGCCAGCCAGCCTCTGAGCAATGGCAGGCCCCCAGCATGTAAAAGCTGAGCTCTGCTTGTTATATTGTATATTGTGTGTGTGTGTTTGGAAACATCATGTTGTCTGGAGTATCTGCTGCTTGTGTTTTGGTGTATTCTTCTTTTTTTTTCTTTTTTTATTCCCTCAGCAGTAATGGCCTACCTCAGTGTTAAATTTGTTTGAGGCTGAAATTGAGCATATAGACAGTCACAAAATCATTTATATTGGGAGGGACCTTTTGAGATCACCAAATAGGTCTGAATGGGCTTTTGGAGTTGAGGTATAAGACGACTGCAAAATAAATGCAATGTCAACTTTCTGGCTTATTAATCAATTTTCTTTACTCTCCCATTGTAAATTAATGACTTTTTTTCTGTTATAGATTGACTATACAGGAACAGAGCCTTCTAGTCCCTGCAACAAATGTTTAAATGTGTCCTGGGACAGCACGCCACCTTGTACCTGCACCATCAATTTCACACTGGAACATTCATTTGAGGTATGCTGTCCTGTATACAAAGTGAAATTAGAACAGTTTATATGGCTTATTTCATAATTGATAGGACAGCTGTATCACTCAAGTCTTTTTTTTTTTTTCTTTCTTCTGTTTTAAAGGATTATTTCTAGTTGTCCTATGAACTTGGATCTCATTTTTGTGTATCTTCTCAGTAGCAGGGATGAGATGTTTTTTAATGCCTCTGTTTGTCTGGATATGTATAACATTAAGTGGAATGCTTGTGTTTTACACATTTAGGTTTACCGTATGTGTCATATAGCTGGCAAGTAGATCAGCTATTCCTGTATGATTTAAAAAAAAAAATCAGTTCAACAAGAATTGGAAATACCAGATAAGTGCTTTCTGACAAATTAGAGGCAAATGAGGCTTATGTGCTTAACATCAGACAAAACAGGTGCTGGAATTAGTGCTGGTCAATATCATTCTGATAGTTTATGGCATGTGGATACTGTTTGACTTCAGGATGCCAGCTTATGTTAGGATAGTACTCTGTGTACTCAGTGTGAAGACAGGATTGAGGCTCCTTCTTTATGAATGTTGCTGTAAAGTAAACACAGATTTTAAGAGGTTAAAATTTAAGCTTTATGTCAATTAGTGTGTTCATATGTTTTATTGATCAGTTCTTTGTGTGAATGAAAACCCCTCTGACCGCATCTTGCTTCTTGTAGAGCAATGTATTCATGTATTATGGACTTTCCAACTTCTATCAAAACCATCGTCGTTATGTGAAATCTCGAGATGACAGCCAGCTGAATGGAGATAACAGTTCACTACTTGTAGGTATTCCTGCTTGGATATTAATAACCAACTAACTTCTGACTATTGCATGAATCGTCTCATAGCTGAGTATTTAGTTTAAAAATAATGAGGTACTAGAATTTTTGTATAACAGAAAACAACCATAAGGAATTCATATTTTGTTTACAGAAAATAACTGTGTAAAACACTGTAAAATATCATGCCAGTCATTTCATTAAGTGGACAGCAATGCAGTACTTTGATCACTTCTCAAATTTGAATAGTTTTAAACTGTCTTGTTACCTTCAGTCAGTAGTATCTGTCTGTATCCATTTTGTCTGAAGTTTTCATTTTCAGTATAAAATAATATTCAGTTACCTAGCACTTGGTTTGGATATTTCAGCTAAGTGCACCTGTTTTTGTAGACTCTGGTTCAATGTTGAACATCAGCAATATTGGAAAATATCAGTACTGTGTATTCTGTTCAAGCCACTCTGTAATGTTTAGGGCCAGACCTCTCTTTTCCCTAATTTTTACGAGGAGTGGAAATACAATTGGGTTCTTGCTCCAGCATTATTCTCTCTTTTTACCCCTAAGCTTTAAAAAAGGGGAGAGTTTCAGGAGGGTACATCTGATGACTGACAGAGGGTTTTGGGGGGGGCTTTTTCTGCTTGCATTTTTGGCATGCTGTTGGAGTCTTGCAAACTTTTGCATTTTATGTTATGTTTGGTTTCTTATTATAGTCTTATATTCTATAACACTGATGCATACTTAAAAAAAAAAAACTTTAGTAAAAGAATGCTTGAGTACTTCATGTTGGAAAACTGTTTCTATTAAAAGATAAAAGAAAAAAAGTTCTAATAGCTTCCAAGAAAAGCCTTATTTTTAGTATATGACCATGATGAGATTCTGACTTTATTCATGTTTTATTTAGGTTTTATTCCTGCTTGTGAAAGAAAAATCAATCATGCCAGCTAGCATTGAATGCTGAAGTATTTGTAAATAACCTGATTTGTGAAAAGATTATTTTGTGCTACATTTAAGATGTGCACATTATTGAGGTACCGTAGCAAAAAACGGGTTAGTTGGATAAACTAGCACAGACTCATCTGCCTTTTTTTCTTTCTAACCATCAGAATCCAAGTAAGGAATGTGAGCCTTACCGCACAAATGAGGACAAACCCATTGCTCCTTGTGGAGCTATTGCCAACAGTATGTTTAATGGTATGGTAACACAACTTTAAGTTATCACTTAGATGTTTTTGTGATCCAGTGTATGTTTTGTATTGTGTTGCAAATTGTTCTGAGTAAAGACATCACAGGCTTTTTTGTTTTAAATTAACATATTTTCATTGTTCAGAATAAAATAAATATCTTGTGTTGGACTGCTGTTGCTTTTTTCAAAATCGCTATCAGAATTAATTTAATCTGATAGCGTACAAAGGATGGAAATACCTGTTGTGAGAAGCCGTTACTGCTGTGGAGTAGACATATAGATATCATATATGGATAATATGCTGCTATCTAACATACACTAATTCTTACAGAACAGCTTGTGATTGTGGCAGGCAGGTAATAAATGCTGTGCCCAGTTTTTTTTGTTTTGTTTCTCCTGGAGGTAATTGTTTCACTGCCTATCAGGATCATCTGTCTAATGAAAGTTTTGTCAGCTGGTTTTCTAATTTGATTTTCTCCTTAGATACATTGGAATTATACCGCATTGATAATGACACAAGGACTCCTATTACTTTGATTAAAAAAGGCATTGCGTGGTGGACAGATAAAAATGTAAAGTTCAGGAATCCTACGGGAGATGGAAATAATTTAACTGCGCTTTTCCAAGGTAAAAAAAATGTGAAATTTTAAGAAGAATAAAACACTTCAAACACATTTTGATTCGAGTGAGTTTTACCTCACTGACATTTTAGTGAACATGCTAATTAAAAATATTGTGGTTTTCTGAAGAAATCCAAGCTAAAGACTACTCTGCTATCTAGAAAGGTTCTCTTTAAATAATGAAAGCTATAAATTTCATGTGAAAGTGTTTGGTTTTTAACTTTACTGTAATCATTAATGCTTTTTTTAATTTCTGATTTTTTTTTTTCACTTTGAATACTGAGAAAAGCCTAATATGTGCACTGCTGTTGTGGCTTAACCCTGGCTGGCAGTTAAGCACCACACAGCTGCTCACTAACACCCTCTCCCCCTCAGTGGGATGGAGGGGAGAGAATCGGAAGGGTAAAAGTGAGAAAACTTGTGGGTTGAGATAAAGATAATTCAGTAATTAAAAAAAAAAACAAAAGGAAAAAAAAAAAAACCAAACACACGAACAAAGAGAGAGGAAAATAAAACCCAGGAAAACCCAAGTAATGCAAAAGAAAACTATTGCTAGCCAGCCAGCCTCTGAGCAATGGCAGCCCCCGCCAACCTCCACCTGCCCAGCTTTATTGCTGAGCATGACGTCATATGGTATAGAATATCCCTTCGGGCAGTTGGGGTCGGCTGTCCCAGCTGCGCACCCCCAGCCTACTTGCTGGTGGGGCAGTCTGAGGAGCAGAAGCGGCCTTGGGGCTGTGTAAGCGCTGTCCAACAATAATTAAAACAGCAGCGTGTTATCAACACTGCTTTTATAACAAATCCAAAACATAGCAGGGTACAAGCTACTATGAAGAAATTTAACTCTGTCCCAGCCCAAAACCAGTACAACTGCTGTAATGCTTGGATTTAACTTGAAAAGAAATCCTGCAATTGTTTAATCAAACTCTTCATATGGGAGTTTTCATTTAAATGCTTCTAGTGGTAGATTGTGCAAAGTTTTCTAAAAACCTGATTCTTTTTTGTGATTAGAAGTGACTGATTTCTCTCATTTGTTAGTTTAAATACAGTTTGGTAAATCAAAGTTTTCAATGTCTGAAAATAATCTTCCTCAGGGCTCTGAGGTGTGTCTGTGTTTATGCAAGGTGTATAATAATTTCAGGTTTAACCTGATGCGGGTTTCTCGCTTAGTCACAGCCAAATTGCATGTTACCAATGTGATGCTACCCTTGCAAAAACAGATACCTTACCCTAATACAGTGTAGAATTTTATTTCCAATAAAATAAGCAAAAGCATTAGTATGGCATCGTCTAAAATATTACACATAATTTTATTTGCTTGTGGTCCAGGAAGTGGTAGTCAAACTCTTTTAACAAGTGAGCAGAGGAGCTATCATCATAATGGAGAACTGTCTCACTAAGGTAGAGTAATGTTTTGAGACGAGACTTCCTAGCTATATAAATGTGTAGGGGAGGCAAATTTGTTTAAACAAATGGGCAGTGCTCTCATGAGAATAAATGGATATGCACTACTATATAAGCTGCAAAATAAAAAGTTCTTAAACAGCCTAGTGTCTTGCAACAGCAGTGAGCCAACCTGTCTGTTCATACTGTTTAGAAGTTAGTATGTTTTTCTGTGATATTAGAAGGAATTTTGATGAGCCAGTGTGTTACTTAGTCCTGTATTTGAAATACGTTATTGTTGTTATTTTTGTTTAATCCTAGGCACAACAAAACCTGTGAACTGGCCCAAGCCAGTGTATATGCTGGACTCAGAGCCTGACAACAATGGCTTTATCAATGAAGACTTCATTGTGTGGATGCGTACTGCTGCTCTGCCAACGTTTCGCAAACTGTATCGTCTCATTGAAAGGAAGAATAATTTGCAGCCTACCTTACAGGCTGGAAAATATTCTTTGGATATCGCGTACAGTATCCTTTGAAAAAAAACCAACTTTGAAACCAGCTAAGGACCTTAGCTGGATTACACGGGCATATATTTGTGCAAGTTCAAATTGAACTAGTCTTTTTTTCTTACCATCTCTAAAAAAAGATGCTATTGAGCTGTGGTTGAAAACCGGTAGCGAGACTTGGGTAGAATAATTACCATCTTGTACTTCTGTGCAAGTTTTTAATAGCATTAACTTGTGTGTGGCCTGTTAGAATGTGAAATCCAGTCCAGTTTTTAAGCTTCATAAATGAAATGACTGGGTTAGACTTACACTCTTTAATGTAAGTTCAGATTTAATCATAACATTCTTAAACTATTTTGTAGTTCATATAAAACTGCATTCATATAAAACTACGTTTTTTAACCAGGATGAAAACATTCAGTTCAGTTTTAAAAAAAAAAAAAAAAAAAAAAAAAATCAACTCTTTAGTGGAGGCCTTTGTGAGGAGATAATGGAAATGTTAATCCTAGGGAAGATTTCAGTGTAGAATTTACCCAGTAGGCACATTTTGGAGGACTTGAGTGTCTTCTCTGTACACTTAACTTGAATTCTTACAGGTGTATGGTCAGCCTTACTCACTTTTTTCTCACACATCTTGTTCGTGTTTATGGTTGCTTGCAGTTCCCAATAGCTGCCTCATGTGGGACAGAGGCTAAAGTCTATGGATGGGAGCGTTTCCATCTGATAATTTTTGGGCAGACGGTCTGCGTTTTGGCTGACAGGAAGATACTTGAGCATAGTTCAGGAGATGCTTAGCCTTCAGGTGAACTGATAAGCCTTCTCGAAATCCGTTAACTGACCTAAGTAACAGTTAGCCAGGTTCTAGTTTCCGCAAAATACTATGTATGCACACGCTTTATTTATCCTTAGGTTGATAACGTGGCCAATTTGCAGTGTGCATTTTTACTCATCGGTGTAGGCACTACTAATTCTTTGATGCCTTCCTGTGCTTTCCTATGGACTCATAATTACTGCTTTGACACTGAAGGGTATGGAATATCTGGAGAGACGTTTTTCATGGGTGCAGGAATTAACATTCATTCAGGAGTTCAGGGCCTGCTTTGGGCCCTTCTGCAGCTCCGTGTATTGTTGTCAGATTATTCTCTACTTGTAGTCTTGCTCCAGACTACTGTGGAATTGCTGTGCAATTACTCAAATCTGTGTATAAAATGAAATGAGTAGCTTTGTAGTGAGATGGAAATCAGATTGCTTGGGTGGTGTAAAGGAACTGAGAGAAGCACAGGAAAAAGGAAAGAACAGAGGTAGTTGGTAGCCTAGAAACTTTAACTTCAGGGTATAATGACAATATGTAATCGAGCTCAGACTGACTTTGGAGGTCAGAAAAATGCCAGAGCTGTGGATCAGGTAGGGAGGTCTCTCGTTCTATTTTGGACAAACTAAAGGCTAGGTAGAAGTGCAGGAGACTAGAGGAGGAGGGTTGTCATAGTTACCAAATTCTTAAAATTCGAAAGCACTTAATGATCATTTTTAAATAGCTACTGCAGTATTTTCCTTTGCAAAACTATGGAGAGTGCATATAAAACTGAATGAACATAAAGTCACTAAGAAAAATTTTGAACTAAAATACATTTAAGAATTAAAATTCACATTTCCCTCATTTTATTGAAGCTGCTTTCAAAAACCCACAAAATCGTGCATTTACTCTTCCCTTAAAAAGTGGTTAACATCTCCTAAAGTGGCTGTTTGCACTTCCAGTACTCAAAGGCGGCAGTTTGTGTTTGGAACCTGAGTGAAATATTCCCAAATTTTAATTGGCCTGACCACATAAAGCTAGATTTGGAAATGTGCTTCTTGTTTTCCTATACGTTTTTCAGATTATCCTGTACACAGTTTTGATGGACGAAAAAGAATGATCCTAAGCACCATCTCGTGGATGGGAGGCAAAAATCCCTTTCTGGGAATTGCTTACATCACTGTCGGGTCCATATGCTTCTTCTTAGGAGTTGTATTGCTGATCATCCATCACAAATACGGAAATCGAAACACTAGTGCAGACATTCCCAATTAATCTTGCATTCTGAAAACAAATGTACTGCATGTGCATCGAGGCCAGTCCAGGACGGACCCAGTTTTTGAAAGATAAATCTCCGCTTCTGTCACTTCTGAGACTGGGTACATAATTTTTATCTAAAGCTCCCCTTTCCCATACTGTGGATTAACTCTTGAAAATGACGGGTATACAATTAGCTACATTGATTGTATCTCTGCCTATGTCAGAAACAATTTTTCTGATATTTGCCTCTAACTGGGCAGGCCACACGATGCATATAGCTCCTCTTCCCTTGATGCATCTGCTGCTTGTTCATGTGCTGTGTAATGTCGGTATGATTCAGTACATTTAGATTGTGTGGAGAAAGACTGTTATAAGATAACTGTAAATCGTTAACTTTCTGGAGTTCAGGTGTCAGTGCTGTTGAAAGGAAAAGTCAAGTCTTAAATGTTTTTTCAATTTACTGTCTTGTGTGCATGGGCTCTTACATTTCTTGCTGAGATTTTAATATATTTATATAAGTTGTTAAATATTTTTCCTGTGTCCTACCCACCTCTGTTAAATCCTTTAAGTGCTGTGTAAATTTCAGCACTCTGGATTCTTTGTATATTTACAATATATGTGCCTGGCCAGTAAACTAGCATCCTATGAAGTTACCAGAAAACCTATTTGTTAATTATCTGTATCAGTCCCTTTTAAAGTTTCTTCTAAATTGAGAAATGTATGTTGCAGGCAGAATCTGCTTTCTTCTAATTTTCTTTGCTTTAAGTCACATCCAATACTAGTTTACCTATTCTGCTTGCTGGTTTTGCTTTCTATGAGCAGCTCCAAGCATTAATCAAGAAGAACCTAAAATGTTTTTTCCATTCACATATTTGTGTGAATTCCTTTTACTGGAGGAGTTTCCTAATTTTTTTGAGGCATACGTATTCTGAGCAGGCTTTGTTGTAAAGGAATTGTAATACACTTTTTCCTTATTTGGAGTAAACACCACATTAAATTTTTGCGGTTTTAAGATAGTAAACTATAGAAATTCAAAAGTTGAGATGGCAGTAGCCTCTTTTCATTGAAGTGCAGGTTGAGCTTGCTGTGAAACCTAATTTAAATGTTGCATTAGAAGCTGTATGCAGGTTAGTGTCTTAAATCAAATTACAGAAGCATTCACTTTTAGGTTAATTCAAAGTTAACTGTAACCTGTAAAATATTACTTTTTGGTGACTTTTTTTTTAGACGATGCACAGAAATTGTAATGTATATGGTGGAGATCTCTTTATATGCAACTAGCTTGATAAAATATTGATTATATTAAAAAAGACCTAATAAATTCTGCAAACCATTTAATAAGAGATTTTATTTTGTTCTTGAACATGCATTTATTTTCATCTGGATGAAAAGACGTATTCTCATGAACTGTGAATGCAGTTTAAGTGAGTTGTATTTCTGGGATTGCATATTTTTTACAAGTTGTTTAGTCATGGTCCAGTAGCTCAATCTATAGCCAGCTTCTAACAACACTATTAACTTACCACATAAACACGACTGTTTTTACTGAATTACTTGTGTAATCTTTTTAAGCTAGCAGTTTAAGTGTGTCAGTCAGTACAAACTGTGGAATGAGGCAGTGTTTCCAGTGTGCTAGCTTTCTGGAACTCCATATAATAATTTGTTTGCATAGTACACTGTGGCAGCACAGGACTTTAAATAGTCAAGCTATGTTAAGATTTTATTTAGTATTGTATCTATATTGCTGGAATTATAGAATAAGGTATGTACCTTTGTGTATTGCAAGGCAGAAAACTCGCACAAAATGTTAAACTGGCTTTCATCTGTAGAGTAGTTGCTAGTCCAAAATGTAGTAAGGGGACATCTCCCAATTACTGGTTATTAAAATAGTTTGATTTTTAAACTTTGTGTTTGTCACTTGACATGCAAATACATTCTGCTTCATTCAAAATCCCTATCTTTTTTCAAGTAGTAAATGCTGCTTTTTGGGCTGTGTTCAAAATTTAAAACAAAGTATTTTTCTATCTTTACCTTAAGATAGTTTTCAATGCCTTACTTTTTTTCTACTGGCTATAGGTGTCTGTGCTTCTTTCATCTTCTTAATGAAGTGCACCAGGGTGAGAATTGCTGTCTGTTTTTTGTTACAATTCGGCGTTTTCTCTTGAGAGCCTGTAGCAGTAAATACCTGACAGCCAGTGAGCCTGAGGAGCTTAAAATGCTTATAACAGCTTAAAATGTTAGGTCAAACATGTAAACTCTTCCTTCACTCGTGCTCATTTGTCTTGAAGCCATGTTGATAACTATGGAGATCCTTGGATTTGGTATTCCTTACAAGTTGCCCATATGCCGTGTGTTCAAGGATGAAACCACGGCGTCCCTGTCTGGCACATCTCGGGGCAGTGTCACTGTCCTGGTGTTCAGTGTCATGTGTTGAATTGGGATTCGACCACCTGCGGCCTGGTTCTTCAGTGGCGTCCTTCAGAGGTATTCGCCACCAGGGTTCAGAAATACAAAGAGCAATGCCCCTGGTTTCTGAGTGCCCCTTAGGCACTACCCGAGTCTTACCCACCTGAGGCAGTGCCCAAAGTGGGAGAGATTATAAGCTTTCTGGAGGCTGCTGCTGTTACGAGGGTCTGCTTCGGAACGAATTTCGTGGCGAGAGTAATTTGGGAAACTAGGATATGTCCCTGTCCTATGCAAGAGGTCTGCAAACAAATTCTCTAGTGTGAGACCAACTGTCTTCTGGTTTCTTGTAAAAAAAAACTACATCCCTGTAACAAAGCCGATCGTCACCTCGGGTATTTTTTTAACTGCATCAGGCTATTTGGGGAGCTGTCGATTGTGCTCTGCTGAGTCAGAGGGAAGAGTTACCAGCTTATAACAAATGCGAAGGATCCTTTACGGCCGTTGCCTCCCAAGGTCATAGTGGTGCTGAAACTGGGTTGTCAGCAGCATGGTTTAATTATGAATGTTAAACCTTGAAGAATGCAAACCTTGTCTTTTTTATAGAAATCTCTGTGGGAGAAAAGGCCGTGACAATCTAGGGTCAAGTCACATCTGCAAGCGTATATTCTCTGCTTGAATCCATCAAATAGAGCAATGGATGTGGCTGGCGTTTGGATTGGATTCACAGGAAGCATTCCGGGTCAAGTCACATCTGCAAGCGTATATTCTCTGCTTGAATCCATCAAATAGAGCAATGGATGTGGCTGGCGTTTGGATTGGATTCACAGGAAGCGTTCCTGCCTGCACCTTTCTCTCAGATGCCTTATTTGCAGTGGGAAAATAAGGGTTACAACGCCTATAGACAGACAGATGTCCAAGCCTGAGTTGAAGTGAGTGTCTGGTGGAAAAAATGTGACTAAGCCTAAAGCAGAATGTACCTACAGTTACTTTAAGAAAAAAAAAAAGTCACTGATTGGAATGCAACCCCTGAAGACTAAGAACAAGGCGTAACCATAGAATAATCTGGAAGCACTGCGAATGACTCTGATCCTCAAAGTTCCCATGACAAAAATACTGGTTTTGATCTTGCCTGAAAATTTGTGACCTACCCTTGGTACTGCGTAAGTTTGTTTTTTTTCTAGAAGTTTGATATTTGTGCTACCTGGGTTTGTTCCCTAACTAGCTATGGTGAGCGAGAAATGAAGAGGGCAACAATGCTAAGGCCTTCAGGAAGGTCTGCAATATTGATCTTAAAACCAAGCCAGTCCCATGAGGGTTTTGTATTGACCTAGTCAGTGAGTTTTAAAAAAACAAACAAACAAAACCCTAAAAAAACCACAACCAAAAAACCAAACACAAAAAAACCCAAACACCCCAAAATGTTCCACATGTCTAATACTTGTCTGTATTGAACAGCCTGCCAAAAATTTTCACTTTCAAAGGAGAAGAAAAAAATGTGAAAATGGAAGCCCATTTGATTCCTGCTCTCTCCATCGCAACGTGGCTAGTTTATGGAAGAGGCTGCTTCTAGCAGTGTGAAAATGGACTCTGAGGTAGAAAGCCCAGTTGTAAAAAGTTTTTTCTGTAGTAGTACTATGAAGCTCCTCAGATCAGCAGAAGTATTTTCATGTAAAAATAGCCGATGTTCTAGCTCACAGAATCTGTTCTGATCACCGTATTGCCTTCCATGCCTAAATGTGAAGTCTAGTCTTAATTGAAACTGTCAAGTAAGATTAAAGTCCATTACGAAATGGCCTGATAAGATTTAACAGGTGACCCGAGTCTCAAATATGACCCGAGTCTCAAATAAGAAACCACCTTCCTGTAAGCCTCCCATTCCAAATGTGCTCAACCTGTGTTGGAAAATAAAGTAACACTGTCCATCATTTGAGTTACACCAACTGCTGCTAGAAAGTCTGAAGCTGGAAAATTATCTTTCTTATTTCCTGTTTGGAATGAAATGAAGAGGAATAAAAGCCTAAGTCAATAATTAATGAAGCTCAAGACATTTAAAAAAAAGATAAATAGAAAGTAGGAGGAGTTCTTTCTCACTGGACTCTGATTTCAGATAAAAGATGACATAAAGGAAACAATTCAAGCAAACTGAGTATCAGAGATGTACAAGTTTAAGTGAATTTGCACCTGAGCAAGTGGATTGTGCTCAAATTCTGCAAAATAAAATGCTGAGATGCTTTAAGTAGTATTAGAGGGTCAGGAATGTAATTAATGACCTCATTAATTCTGTTATGAAAATGGGAAAGATTGGACTGTGATATTCTTGGAAGAAATGCAAATATAATTGTCTCCAGGCTTCCCTGCTGAGGTCTGGAGTTACGTGGTTGAAGCTAGTGAATGCTTCACAATAGATGCTTGTAAACTTCGGAACAGATCTTTGTTCTGTCAGCGAGTTCCTTTAATGCAATTTTAGTGTATTATACAACTCAAGGTAACTTGGAAAATGGTTATAGTAAGATAGAACACTGTGTTTTCTCTCTTCATACACCATGTAGCTTTTAACTGAGTTAGTCAATTATTTTGTTTGCAAGACAAAAACTAAACCAGCGGGCAGGCAAGAGTCAGGAGGAGGTTTGCACCAGGGGCTTCCACTTCCACAGCTGGGTTGAATGTTAACTCAGTTTGTGTGATCTCTTTAGTGGGGTTTACATACCTTTCTGGTATTGGTTTAAGAGGTAAAACACTTTTTGTGATGAATGCTTATTAACATACAGATTAATAGCCCTGTTTTAATTCTGGCTTAAACAAAACTGTTTAAGAATTAGTTCTGAGTAAAAATCTTATTATTTTTCAATACAATACATGCAAAAGTTACTCTATCCTCTTAGGAAAAAGCAGTCTGAGTTTGCTTCTAGGGAAATATCCTCACCCCTGAGGCGGCAAGTTGCCATTTATCTTTCCCTCAAGTTTTCATTTCTTCATAAATTAGTCAACACTGAAGAAGCCAGCTGTGCTTGCTCTGAGCAGTCATCTTGTAGCTTGGATTGGTACGTAACCCACGTGCCAAGCTTTAAGTATGGCCTTTCTGTTGTAAAGTGTATCTTGACAGGCAATAGCACTGAAGCTCAGATTCAGACATATCAGGAAATGGTCCACACAGCAGAAATTAAGCAGTAGTAATTTTTCTGGGGATTATGATCCTTTTACCAGTATCTAAATAAACTGAGTGTATAAAAATCA